CAACTGTGGGAACACGAAGAACATTTCTAAGATGCAATGTCCTAGAGGTGTTTGTGAGAAGTGATGCCTGACCAACATGCGAAATGCGCATACCTTCCCCGTTAGCTGTGTGAACCTTGTCATGCCCACGGTAAGGCTGCTGGACAGTTAGCTTGCCCAGCTCGTTCGTGACGTGCGTGGTTGCTCCAGTATCCATGTAACAAGAAGGATCGAGAGGAATAAGAAGGGGTGTGACCCTGTTGCGCCATGTTAACTTGACGCTCGTTGCCCTTGCCATTATTGCCGAGGCCAAGGAAGTCCGTCTTGAACCGGCGATGACAGCGAGAGGCGACATGGCGATCAACGGAGGGATATGCAGTGTTCCTTGGTTCGAACTTGATCGCCTGGAGTGCTCATAAACAAGCAACGGTGTCCCGCAGTAGCACTGAAGAACCGTGGTGCCGGCGGCGCTTGAGGCGGCGGCGACGGCTGGTGGCAGAGGCGGAGCGGAAGACATTAGATCATTAGGTCTGATACCATATTAGACAGTTTTAGGGTTTGTGGCACACCTCCAACCTGGGGTGACCTTTTCATTATATAGTCATGTACAACATAATTACAAGTGGGGCCCAGTATATACAAAGTCTAACAGGTCCCAAACGGGAGCGGTAGGGAACATGGATAGTGGGCGGTGTTGGAGTAGGGAACGGCAGGGGAGACCGGCCGCCGCTGGGGCAGGAGAGCACGATGTCGTAGGGGGCCAAGAGGGCCGCGGCGCTGGAGACCTATAGGGAGACCGGTGAGAAATGAGAGAGAGATTCTTTTGGCTATACTGACGTGTTGTTGTGCGTCCAACTATTACTGCTAGCAGGGAGTGAGAGAGAGACCAGAGTGAGAGATGAGATGATATATATTTTCTATGCTTATTTGCTTGATGCTACTCACAGATAAGATAGTTTAGGAAGTGGAAGAGATTGATGCCAGAGAGAGACGAGATGAGATATAGTATGCTGCATGGATGTTGTTTTTGCTATTTCTTGTAGTGCTTCGATATGTTGAGTGATGAGAACACCGATGCAATTGGAGACTACCATTGTATTTTTGGATAACCATCAAAGTGCACGGACGTGGCTTTTTTGTTTTCTTCCCAGTAGATTATATCCAGCACATGTGCAAGTAACATGTAAAACTGAGAAGAAAGGTCAATCCAAGATCTTCACCGGTAAGAAACTTGAAAATATTGTGCCATCCTCACAAACATTGGATTCTGTGGCTGCCGCCATAATGGGAGTAATAGACGACTAATGCTTATGTTAACACCATGTATAACTTTTTTTTGCGGGGTCATGTATAACTTTTCCGACTGTCATACTTTCTATGTTCCTACTTTTTGATCCCCAGAGAGAATCTACATTCATTACATGATTTTGGTAATATCTCTTAAATCTTTCTTGAAGCATGTCATCATAGTGTACAAATATTTTTGTTCTCTTAAAAATAATAGAGATTACTAAACAAAGTTAGGTCAAATGCGAACCAACTTGTGGTTGGATGGTTAGGAGGACAATGGTATTTTCAGTCCACCAGGTTCAAGTCCTAGACTTGACACTGGTACTCGTTATTTCCTGGTTTTATTTCAGGCCGTTCGGCGATGCGTGTTTAGTGGGAGGAAGGGTGTGCATACGTGTGTTCATAGGGGTGAACGTATGTGCGTATGTATGAGCGTCGGCGTCTGTACCTTGTTCAAAAAATGTAAGATCAAATTAATTATTCTGACATGATTAAAGAATGGATAATGAAAAAAGATCAATTATGCAGTTAACTTAAAGCTATTGGAACTTGGTTTGTAATACTGCTTTGATCAGATTCCATGACATTATTTTCCTCCAAGTATAATGCATATGATCCTTCGGTAATATGGGGACGTGATTAGATTGGATGTCCAATGATAGAAGCCGGATATAAGAAACGAATATCAAGGAAAATATTGTGTGTGTTTGGAATGGGGTGGAGGGAGGGGGATTATGAACCGGGTGCGCCATTGACAAAGTTGATAAGTTTGAATTAGGTAGGCGGGGACATGAAGGCAGTGGATGAAAATATTATGCCCCGTTGCAATGCACGGGCATTTACCTAGTGCTGATAAAATTCATGTAAGTCAAAGAAGGCCCTCCAAATCCGACATTATTAATTCATGCTAGGCTAGCACTTGTATTAATTCGAGTTCTTTGTTTTTTCCTCAAAACTGAATCAATGAAGCACACTTATCTTCAACAACACAGGTCAAGCACGTAATTAGGATAGTTTGATGGCGTTTTACAAATCAAGCAAGTTCTAAGTTAGTACTGCTACACGCACGAAATTTATGAAACGGCCGGAGGGGCACGTGCGGAGTTAGTTAACCCATGAAACATCGTGTACCTATATATGATATATCCACCTACGGCGGCTCCGCGGTAGCCGTATCCAAAGCAGCAGCACGTACGGTCAAATCATACCGCTGGCCGGCTGGTTCATCTGGCTAGGAGAGGAGAGCCCTGTGGCCTATCCAATCCATGCGCGCGGGCGGTCCACCCTGACCCGGTGGAATACTAGCTAGGATCTCGCTCCATTCCATGCGTGCGTTCTTATCCAAATCTTTGACTGTCAATACATACAGCACGGCCACCACGTGGAATCCATCCTAGGACCTCAGTGCCTCCTCAGTCCATCCCATGTGGACTGGTTATACAAACCCGAGTATAAATACCCGTGCATACACACACCGCATTGCTCACTCATCTCCTCCATCTCCTTCGAGCCAGCTAGCTAGTCTGGTACGTAGAATACGTAGGGTGTATTCCTGAGAGGCTGAGAGGAGAGGAAATGGGGACGGCGGCGGCCGTGCTAGCGATCGTGTCGCTGCTGTGCTGGGCGGTGGTGCAGGCGTCGCACGTCGTCTACCCGGAGCTCCAGTCGCTGGAGGCCAAGGAGGTTGCCACGGAGCTGCGCACCGGCTACCATTTCCAACCCCCCAAGCACTGGATCAATGGTACGTACTTATCCCGCCCTTCCAAAATAGATGACCCAACTTTGTGCTAAATTAGTATAAAGTTGTACTAACTTAATACAAAATTGGGTCATCTATTTTGAAACCGATTCCATCTATCTACCGCAGCATGCTTGTGGATCATCTTCTTCTTCAACCGTCGATTGCTCATTCCTCGTCTCATTTATTTGTCTGCATGGCATTGACCTACTTCCCATGACGACGCAACAACCAATCAGATCCCAATGGTACGTACGTGTACTGCGGATATTTATTTGCACGGGATTGCTAAACCTTAATTGACTAAGACTTAACCAAGTCTCGGCCGATGTTATATTTATGAGATCTACATGAAGATTCGTTCAAAATGTTTGCATGACACTGTACACCTAATATCTAAATGTACGTACATGTGGATGGATGCAGTCATGCAGGGCCAATGTACTACAAGGGCCTGTACCACCTCTTCTACCAGTACAACCCCAAAGGCGCCGTGTGGGGTAACATCATCTGGGCGCACTCATTTCTCAAAAAAAAAAAAAAAATTGGGCGCACTCCGTCTGCACCGACCTCATCCGCTGGGTGGCCCTGGAGCCCGCGATCTACCCCACCAGGCCCTACGACGTCAACGGCTGCTGGTCAGGCTCCGCCACCATGTTGCCAACATCTCGTACCCGGCCAACATCTCTGATCCCTTCCTCCGCGAGTGGGTCAAGCCCGAGTACAACC